GGCTCTCTTCAGGAGGACTAAAAAGTATAATCGTTTGTTTGCTCTTTTTATAACATCATTGATGTGGTTGTTCCACTTAAGGTTACACGAAATAGTCACGCCTAGGATCCTAGCCGACTCTACCGTCTCTAATTCTTTGCCATCTACCAAGAGGGGAGTGAAATGGTGTTTCTGCCTTTTGTAGTCGATGACCATAACTTTGCATTTGTCAGCGTTAAGCTACATCTTCTGTGCTTTGGACCAATCCTCCATCACTTTAACAGCGGTTTGGGCGTCACCTAATGCGTTACGCGGGACGATCTCTGCCACCGTCGTGTCATCAACGTACTTCCAAGTTTGAACCTGGGGAATTCTTAGATCGTTTGTCATTAGCAACAAGAGTCATGGCCCCAATTTTGTCCCCTGAGGTACACCAGCTTGTACGGGGCCCCACTCAGAGAAACAATCAGCAGATAATTATACGCGTTGGTAGCGATGCACCACGAAGTCGACTACCCAACGTGCTACACCCCGAGGGATATCAAGACTGTAAATTTTATGAGTGAGCAGTTGATGGTCAATGTAGTCAAAAGCTTTGCGGTAGTCAAACAGGACCACCCTGACTGCAGATCCCGTGCCATCAGTTGCACGCGTCCAGTGATGGAGCATGGACGTCAGAGCTATGGCCGTGGAGGACTTCGGTAAGGCTCCAAACTGGTCGGGATCGATAACTTTCAACACAGCCGGACCGATGAACGCAGATACTACGAAGTTTTCGGCTAATTTGGAAATTATTGGTGTGAGGGGAATGGGTCGTAAGTGCTTGTTGATGACTTCGATAGGTTTCTGCTTAGAAATGGGTACCACATCTGCCAGCTTCCAAGATAGGGGAAGTTGTTGCTCAGAAAAGCTACAATTAAGGATGGAAGTCATTTGCTGAGCTATAAAGTCAGCATATTCCCTAAACACCCAACTAGGTATCCCATCGGGACCCGCAGCCTTGCGGGGTTCAACTTTATGATTCCGGTCAAAACATCGACCTCAGAAATGGTTACCACCGCCGAGTTCGCTTCGAAGGGTGGAGTAGCATTGAGTGGCGAGAAAGACTTCATTTGGTCCAGGAAGACAAAATTGATAGCGTTTGCGACATCACGGTCTGGAAGATGGTGATCCAGTCCCTCAACGTAGAGTAGCGAGCGCAGACTGTCAGAACCTGACGCAGGGGTCATCCCAGCGATACGCTTGACCTCCCCCCACCATTGGGAGAGCTTGGTGTTCTTTAGATGTTCAACTTTAGAAGCAAAAAACCTCTCACGGAGAGTTTTCCGCTCCCGGTTACCAGTATTTCGAAGGCGACGGAAGCTGGCTAAATCCCCTGACATAAAAGCTTGCTGACGCTTGGCGATTAGAGTCTTAAATTCAGGAGTAATCCACGGAGGGTCATTAAGATGAACCTTAGATTTCACTGCGAGCATGAAAGCGTCCAGTCCTGCAGTGATGATTTCACACAGTTGTCTAGAGCGATCATCATTGTTAGGGGCAGAATCTAAAATGGACCAATCAACGGCTAGAATAAGAACCGTCCTAGTTCGGCTTTCCTACTAACACGTGTGTCACGACTCGAAATTAACTTGCTGCTAGGCCCAGCGCGGGATGGCCTCTTTTTAGTGCGGACGATGACCACGTTATGATCTGAAAGACCAAACGGTGGCAGGGTGTAAACAGCGTTCTCGTCATAGGTATGTGACAAGTTGGTCAAAACGAGATCCAGTATCTTATCGCCTCTCGTTGGCTTATAAATAATTTGCTTCAACTTGAACTGCGATGTGAGGCGGCTAAGGCTCAACCGATTAAACTCGCCGCACACGAATATACCTCAACCGGGATACTGGCCCACAATGTCAGGCAGTGTAGTAGTAAGGTGGTTAAGCATACCACTATTGTTAACGCCTAACTGTGGGTGTTAGATAGTGCCACAACCAGGCAGGGGAATCCTCTGGGCAGCCTCCTCGGCCTAAGCCACACCCAAAGTGACTCAAAATCAGGGTCCGAAAATTCATCGAGTGGTTTAAATTTGATGGAATTATGGATGTAAAGTCCTACACCACCATGGATATTCACACGACGATTTCTTGCGATAAACGAGTAACCAGGAATATTAACTTGGCTGTCACTGATGGTCTCACGTAACCAAGTTTCTGTAAAGAAACCTAAATCAGGCTTTACGTCCAACATCACAGATCGCACTTCGTCGATTTTAGGCGCTAACGACTGTGTGTTTGCTAGTAAGAT